TTCTATAATTTCCCTAATGTCCCATTATTTTCAGATGTCCCATGTGTTCCAGTAAGAGTGGAATGTCTGTAAAAGTAAAAACAGTAAAAACTAAAAGCATCAATTTGTCAAAGACTGAGGAAAGGGGACACATGAAAATCCTGTTTTATTAATTATTTTGGGTTCTTCTTAGGCTCATAAAGTGCCATTCCTTTTATGAAGACTTATTTCTGTTTAAAAAGTGCCATGTTTTATCAACTATTTTAATAAATAATCATTTAGCATATTTGCTTATACTCCTCGTTATGAACTTATTTTCAATCTTTTTTTCATAAAACAATTGATTTTGATTGCATATGAGATGTGCTTGATGCAGAAACTAAATTGTCGGTCCATCGTTATCATTCCCTTTTCCAGTAACAAGCAAACAAAATATACATATGCATACAATTAATTTGGTATATACTAGATATAGGGAGACTGTTGGAAGACCTGAAAGACCAGGTTAGGGTTAGATCATCATCATCATATCTATGTGGTCTCTAGCAGTTGAAAACGACTTGATGGTACATAATCAATTTTTAAAAAAACATATAGGGGGTAGATTGTCCCCAGGTTTATTGGAAATAGGCTAGTTCTTCCTAAATTTCAGAGAAATTGAATCATTTTGTAGGTCAGCCCAAAAGTTGGAAATAATCTCTCCAACTCTTCCAGGGCCCCAAAGACTCCCTTGCCAACTCTCTTATTTCAGGTTTATTTCTACTTCATGTCAGTAAAAGCAATAAGGAGAGCCAGTTTGGTGAAGAGGTTAAAGGCTAGAAAGTGGGTGGCTGTGAGTCCAAGTCCTGCCTTAGGCACAAAACCAGCTGAGGGTCTTTGGGTCAGTCCCTGTTTCTCAACTCTAAGAAGAAGAAGTCAAGGGCAAACCACTTCTGAAAATCTTCATCAGGGGCTTGTCCAGGCAGTCACCAGCAATCAAGAATGATTCAAACATGGAGAGAGAGAGAGAGAGAGGGAGGGAGGGAGGGAGAGAGGGA